CCACTGCACTCCAGCCACGGGGACAGAGAGAGACTCCGTCTCAAAAAAAAAAAAAGTAATCTTCGGCAATAAAGAAAGGAGAGAGGAGGCTGGGTGCAGTGGCTCATGCCTGTAATCTCAGCACTTTGGGTGGCCGAGGCGGGTGGATCACGAGGTCAGGAGTTCGAGACCAGCCTGGCCAACGTGGACCCTGTCTCTACTAATAAGTACAAAAATTAGTTGGTCACAGTGGCGCACGCCTGTAGTCTCAGCTACTCGGGAGGCCGAGGCAGGAGAATTGCTTGAACCCGGGAAGTGGAAGTTGCAGTGAGCTCAGATCGCACCGGCGCACTCCAGCCTGGGCAACAGAGCAAGGCCCCGTCTCAAAAAAAAAAAAAAAAAAGAAAAAAAGAAAGAAAAGAGAGAGGAAACAAAAAACAAGGGTAAGGAGCTCTTTGCCTTAAGTTTTACTTTTGCCTTAAGGTCTTCATCTGTAAATCGGGAATAAAAGCGTTTGGCTGTGCCACAACTACCTTGAGAGGGTGCTATGGAGATGTAACATTAGGTTCAATTTGGTCCTGATTCTACACTAACCTTTATCTTTCTCTTTATGACCATAAAACTTCCCCGACGAAAGTCTAAAATGCCCAAATCGGGAGTCATTGGTGGACTGCACCCATCGGTTTCTCCAATGCTCTGTGGGGAGGGGGAAATAACACCGGTTAGAGGTGATAATGGTTAATTTGGCCTAAGGGAAGGGTGAGGGGGACCCTCGAGGATTCAAGAGTTCGCTGCCGTCGACCCCGCGACGACTCTGCCCAGCCTTGGGGGGCGCAGATGGGGGAGCTTACACCTCTGCCACTACGGGCGTGGCCCCTTCACCTCCGTCTAGAAATTCCTCTTGGAAATAGACGGTAGCCAGCGCCACTCGCAGCATGCAGATGCCCCAGAGGGGCACCCGAACCCCGGCCATGGGGGCTTGCACTGCGCTTCCGGTCGCCGCCGCCCCTTAGCTCCCGGCGCTCTCTGCGGCTCTTCAGGCGAGTCCTGAAACTACAACTCCCGTCACAACTCGCGATTATGACCTGAGGGTCCCATTGGTAGCTGCGGCGCTGGGCACGTCGGGTCCGTCTGGGAACTACCGCTCCCATGATGCCTCGCGATTGTGATTCGGGACGCCATTGGTCTGCGGGACGCGGTGCTTGCCGGGAGATGTAGTCTCTTCTGCTCTGGCTCTGTTGCTCAGGGCAACCGGTCCCTCAGGCCTGAATGTGGCGGCTGCCTCTGCGAATGGACGGCGTGGGAGGAGGTCGGCAGGGCTGGTGGGGAGGTGACCTGGCTGGGCGTCCGGGCTCGCGAGGGGGATACGGGGAAATGGGGCCTTCTCCGTGGCTGAGCTGGTTGGGCAGCTGCAGGATGGTCCCGCGCTTCAGTCTCCCTGCCTGGAGTCTATTGGAGCGTGGTCCTGGGCGGGTCGCATTGGAGCGTGGTCCTGGGCGGGTCGCTTCATAGCTGGGGAGAAGAGCAGGATGGTCTGAGGGGCGCCAGGGTTTTCAAATTTTGGTTTGTTGGTTTTTAACAACTTTGTTGAGCCTTTATTTACATACCATAGTGTTCGCCACTTTTAAGCTGACGACTCCGTTATTTTTAGTAAATCTACAAAGCAGTGAAGTCGTCGCCATCATCCAGTTCATCCAGCTTTAGAACTTTGCGTCAGGCAGGGTGTGGTGGCTCACGCCTGGAATCCCAGCACTTTGGGAGGCAGAGGCGGGAGGATCACTTGAGGCCAGGAGATCCAGACCAGCCTGGGCAACATGGCGAGACCCCATCTCTCAAAAAGATAAAAATAAAAATTTAGCCAGGTGTAGTGGCTCGCGTCTACAGTCCTAGCTACTCGGGATGTTGAGGCGGGAGGCAGGATTGCTTGTGTCCAGGAGGTCAAAGCTGCTGTGAGTTGTGATCATGCCACTGCACTCTGGCTAATTTTTTGTATTTTTAGTAGAGATGGGGTTTCACCATGTTTGCTACATTGATCTCGAGCTCCTGACCTCACGTGATCTGCCAGCCTTGGCCTCCCAAAGTGCTGGGATTATAGGCGTGAGCCACAGCACCGGCCTGATCTGCTTTCTGAGTTTATTGGTTTGCATTTTCTTGACAGTTCTTACAGATGAAATGATAGGGTGTGTGGAGTTTAGTGTCTGGCTCCTTTTTTTTAATTTTTTTTTGAGACAGAGTCGTGCTCTGTCACCCAGGCTGGAGTGCAATGGCGTGATCTCAGCTCACTGCAAACTCCTCCTCCCACGTTCAAGCAATTCTCCTGCCTCAGCGTCCTGAGTAGCTGGGATTACAGGCGCATGCCACCATGCCCCGCTAATTTTTGTATTTTTAGTAGAGACGGGGTTTCACCATGTGGGTCAGGCTCGTCTCGAACTCCTGACATCGTGATGCACCTGCCTCGGTCTCCCAAAGTGCTGGGATTACAGGCGTGAGCCACCGGGCCCGGCTTGGCTACTTTCCCTTCATATGATGTATTTGAGATTCCTGCATGCTATTATATTAGTATTTGTTTTTTAAATTGCTGAACAGTATTCCACTGTATGGATGGACCATAGTTTGTAATCCATTCACTAATTAATGGATAGTTACATTGTTTCAGCATGTTAGCCAGGATGGTCTCAATCTCCTGACCTCATGATCCACCCGCCTGGGCCTCCCAAAGTGCTGGGATTACAGGCGTGAGCCACAGCGCCCGGCCCAAACAGCAGGTACTCTTATGCAAAATTGTCTCCCCTTCCCCCACAGAATGGCTTCTGCAAGGAAAGCCAGCTGTCCCATACGCGATGTTTTTGGTGACTTCAGTGACACTTCCTTAGAAGATTCAACAATGGAAGAAATCAGAAACTTCCAGATCAGTAGAAATCTTACCAAAATAGCACCTGGTCATAGCAGATTTCTAAAAAGAAACCAAACTCTAGGTGAGAAACACTTACTCCTAAAAGAGAACCCTGTACTGGGGAGTGGACCCAGCCTTGCCTCAAGTAGACCGCCCACCACTGACTCCAGGGTCCGAGCCAATGCCGCACTCAGGAAGCTGGCCCAGCTGGAAACCCGGATCATGAATCGGAAGCTGCAGAGGAATTTGTCTCACACAGAATCTGACTCAACGACCACCAACGCCAGTCTTCCAAAGAGAGCTGACAGAATCCTCTCCCGGGATGCAATCGAACTTGCGTCCCAGAACACAGACAAAACTTCCCAGAATCAAGCCCGTGAACTTCCTGTCACCAAAAATAATGCACAGAACCCAAAGGTTAGTAGGTTTCTAAAGAAGAAACAACCATCTGTTGAAAACATATCCCCTGAAGGACCTGTTGGGAAAGAGAGGACTTTGCAAACCCCCAAACAGAAAGAACCTGCTAGAACATTTGATTCTCCAGACAGTGACGAAGAAGAAATGAAAGTATTGCTAGGAAGCTTGATGGACTCTTCTAGAGAAAAAAAGACGAGTCAAGGCTTCAGCAGTGTTAATGTCAGTGAGGAAGAAGAAAGAAAACTATTTTCGGTAAGATTTTTTTTTTTTTGGTAAATTTATTTTTATTAATTTAATTTTTTTTTTTTTTGAGACGGAGTTTCGCTCTTGTTGCCCAGGCTGGAGTGCAATGGTGCAACCTCTGCTCACCACAACCTCCGCCTCCCGCCTCCCGGATTCAAGCGATTCTCCTGCCTCAGCCTCCCAAGTAGCTGGAATTATAGGCATGCGCCACCACGCCCTGCTAATTTTGTGTGCTTAGTAGAGATGTGGATTCTCCATGTTGGTCAGGCTGGTATCGAACTTCTGACCTCAGGTGATCTGCCCGCCTCGGCCTCCCAAAGTGCTGGGATTACAGGCATGAGCTAATATGCCCGGCCGGTGACTGGCT